ATTTATCACTCTAACTTTTCGTCCTTTCATTTTTCTATCATTCCAAACGAAGCATAACGATCAAGAAGAAAAGAGGAGGCATATAAAATGTAGAATGTGGGAATATGTCAACCAAGGGATGTAGATTTAGTGAATACCACGGTTACATATGTCTTCTTGTGTTTAGATAGCTCAGTGTGTAATGCCTTGGCCATCAACCGGAATGAGTTGCACAGCTAGGCAGCAGGTCTTGGGAATAAGAAAACTAATTGTTCCTTATCATTCTCGGCCATCAGTAATAGGGTCATACGAAAAATCATTTGTATACTTTGTTTATGTGAGTCTAAAATCAACATTTGTGGATTTTTTTTTTCCCATTAATGCTAGGCTGTTTGAAAAATATGACGAAAAAAAGATGGATCAAGTGATATGATACTGACATGATGATATTTTTTATTCCACTTATTTAAAATTCAAAATTTGTTCACTATACCACATTAATTTTTGTCTATTTTTTTAGACCATTCTTTTGTAGTACCTAACCTTACCTCTCTTTCTAAGTAGAACTTTCTTGTTCATTTAAACATTTCATATCCAGAATGCTCTATCTCCGTGACACATAAAAAACACACTGTAATACATGTAACTCTCACCACTATGTGCAGAGAGGTTAAAATATCATTCTCACCTTTCATCTTTTAATTATCGGATCTAGTCTTCCTTTTATAATTTTCTTTTCAAGTAAGTCTTTCTTTTATACTTGTGACATGTTAATGTGACGTAGGCGCACATAGAATTTTGAGCGTGTCTAGGACAAGAACATTAACCATTTATATTAATATGCACTTGAACATTTTACCAAGCTATAAAACTATTGCCTAAAGACATTTTTAGTCCCTAAAGCAGGCCTGGTAATCGTGTCGGGTGGAACAGTTTTGTATCGGATAGAACGGGTTTGTGTCAAAAAATTCTTCACCCATACTCCATTTGTTTATAAAAACGGGTTTAATTATCACAACCATATGCGACTCATTTATTAGACGGGTTACCCAGCATAACTCATATGTCACCTGCTAAATAAGATAATCGGTTAAAATGTTTCGAGTTCACACAAAAAATTATCAACTCGCCACACCTTATATATGTTTCACCTGATTATTATAGTAGCAATAAATCATGATTAAGCAAAAAAATAAAGACAAAAAAGTAAACATTAAATCACTTCCAAATTTGAAAGTCACATCTAAACAGTTCAAAGTTCAAACATACCACATTTGTTACTAGGCTACCTTTATTAGTAACTTACTAATTACTGCCAAGAACTAACAAAAAGTTCAAATTCTACAAATAGTGCAATTCTAATTCCATAAACATAAAAAAAAAAACAAAAAAAAAGGTCCACCAATATAACAACCCTTCATTCTTGCAAGTTCCCAGCAGGTCATCCTTGGTTAATCTAATTGCATTCTCAAGTCTGAGTGATTGGGAGGCGTGACGTGAAACAGAGGCTGAAATACCTAAATTTTTTTGGGAATTATAATGTCATTGTTAACATTTTAAAAGAATTGAAACGAGTTTACAGATTAAACACGAAATCAATTCTTTTATTTCACGGGTCTGTCGAATTCACCCATTTATCATTCGAACCGGTTAAGACTACACTAAACCCACTAAATTCGTTTCGATTTCACAAGTCATGTCTAGAATTGTTAGGCTTACCCAAGTGATAAGTATGAACCTTGTCATACAGTTGATCCCGTTCTTCTAGTTTTATTTTTATTTTTTATCTCTAAAATTTCTAATTTATGTTAAAATGGTCCAATCCACGACGGATGTTTAAATTGACAACCAATAATTTGTTGACTGTTTGGTTTCACTAGTTTGTTTTTGGACCATTCTTTTGTTGTTCCTAACCTTACCTTTTTTTCTTTTTCTAAGAACAACTTTTTTGTTCATTTAGACATTTCATATCTAGAATGCTCTATCTCTGTGACTGTGACATATAAAAAGTGCACTCTAATACACGTAACTCTTACCACTATGTGCGGAGAGGTTAAACTGTCATTCTCACCTTTCATTCTTTAATTATCGGATCTAGCCTTCTTTTTATAATTTTCTTTTCAAGTAAGTCTTTCTTTTATACTTGTGATGTATTAATGTGACTTAGTCACAGATAGAATTTTGACCGTGCATATATGACAAGGATATTAACCCTTTAGATTAATATGCACTTGTAACATTTTACCACACTATAAAACTATTGACTAAATACATTTTTACTCTCTAAAGTAGGCCTAACAATTGTGTTGGGTGGAACGGTTTTGTGTCAGATAAAACGGGTTTGTGTCAAAAAATATTTCACTCAAACCAAACAGATTTAATTATTACAACCGTATACGACACGTTTATTAGACTAGTTATCCGGTCAATCCATGCGTCACCTGTTAAATAAGAGAATCAGTTAAAATATTTNTTTTAAATAAGAGAATCGATTAAAATATTTCAGATCCATACGAAAAATTATTAACTTGTCACACTTTATACATATTTAACCTGTTTATTATAGTAACAATAAATCATGGCTAAATAAAAAAAAATAAAGACAAAAAATAAACATCAAATTACTACTAAATTCAAACATACCACATTTACTACTAGCCTATCACTACTAGTAACTTATCAATTACTACTAAGAACCAACAAAAAGTTCAAATTCCACAAATATTCAAATTCTAATTCCATAAACAAAGAATAAAGTCCACCAAAACAACCACCCTTAATTCTTGCAAGTTCCCCGCAAGTCATCATTGGTTAATCAATTGCATCCTCAAGTGTAAGAGATGTGACGCGTGAGGTGAGATAGGGGTTAAGAGACTTAAATTTTTTTTAGGAATTTATAGTGCTATTGTTAACGGATTGAAATGGATTTATAGATTGAACACGAAACTTATTCTTTTATTTCACGATCAAGTTTATCTGTTTACCATTTAAACACGTTAAGATTACACTCAATCCTACTAAATTCGTGTCAATTTCGCGAGTCATGTCTAGAATTGTCAAACATACCCAAGTGGCAAGTATGAACTTTGTCTTACAGTTGGTCCCGATCTTCCAGTTTTANGAATTTATAGTGCTAGGTTGAACACGAAACTTATTCTTTTATTTCACGATCAAGTTTATCTGTTTACCATTTAAACACGTTAAGATTACACTCAATCCTACTAAATTCGTGTCGAATTCGTGTCAATTTCGCGAGTCAATGTCTAGAATTGTCAAACATACCCAAGTGGCAAGTATGAACTTTGTCTTACAGTTGGTCCCGATCTTCCAGTTTTATTTTTATTTTTTATCTCTAAGGTTTCTAATTTATGTTAAAGTGGTCCCATGCACGACTGATGTTTAAATTGACAACCAATAATTTGTTGACTGTGTTCTTGCTAACGTTTCGCACTTTCTAATTTTTTTAATTATTTTATGAGGGTCCTCAAAGTTTCAAAATTTTATATTGCAATGCATACGAACCTTCTTCTCTGATCCACATGAAGATATGTCTCAGCAAAAGCAGCACACCGGGGACTTTGCTGATTGTACAAGAGGAGGGTAGGTATGACTTTATTCCTTCAATTTAAAATGCTATAACGTTATGGCCGTATAATATATTTTTTGATATCAAATTAAAAAATAATTTTTTTTGATTATTTATCTTCTCTCGGGTTAATTATAAAAACAATAAAATAGTATAAAATAATAAAAGAAGTAAAACTTTACTCGTCTTACATTTCTACAGTAGAAAAAGAGGATATATGGTACCAAAAAAGTTAATTGGAACCCTAAAGCGTATTATATTTTCTTGGGAGAGCAGATGATGAACATAATTTTCTAGTTGAAAGGGTGGTCAAGGGCGAACAGACGTAGGAACCCTCTCAGGACGTTATCTTGAAGTTTCTGTCTACCGTAAAATATTTAATTTGAGTCATAACTATTAATTTGGGATGATCGAGTTCGTCACCGCAGCGTCATTGAGAACAAGCTGAACATTCAGACCCTTCAGTAGAAACACATAAATATTTGCAAGTTTACGCACTCTTGTTAAAAGACAGTCTAACACACAAGGTTGATCATTGTCTTAATGCAAGTAATGTATATATTTGTTTGGTTTTTTTGAGTTGGGGGGCGGGGGTGGAAGTTCCACGCAAACACTGAGTATTTGCTGGTATATGCATTCTCATTAAAAGACATTCTAGTGCACGAATAACAAATTAAGTAATTATTTTCCAACCTACTGCCACTGCACAACCCTGTTGGACCTTTTCATCTAACACAAGAAAAACAGAGGCAATAACCACATGGGTTGAAATAGGAACACAAAGGTCCCTTTTTGAGGTTTATGGTTTCATTCTCATCCCACACGTGCTCGACGGCTTCTCACCCAACTAACACCCCTACTATGGGAACATTAATTGATATTATTTGTTTTATTTCATATCGGAAGGAAAAATAACTGATACTCTTAATAGATTCATCACTTACCGTCTTAACTTTTTTGTGGATTGGATTCCAAACATGTATAGTAAATAAGTTGTGTAAAACTTTATTCTCTCCCTCCAAGTGATATTGGAATCGGTGACTGATAATTTTAGATAAATTTTTCTTTTGTTAAAAAAGAAAAAAGAAAAAAAATAAGATGATATCATACTCATACACCTTACTGCCGGGCTTAATTCACTCCCATTTTTTTTTTTTTTTTCGGTAAGTAAGATTCATTTCTATCGACCGAAAGAATATATACAAAAAGTATACCTATTACGAATGTCCCCAAAAGAAAATAGAGGAGCAAGGGATGACAACTCTTATAGACATAGAAGTAGAAGACCAACCATCCTTGTAACAAAAACCTCAAAGTAAACAAAAGATACAATACAGCTCCCATTATATATTTGTTGCTCTTCTTCATAGCCTCATAACAAGTTATCCTCTCTCTCTCTTACCCCCCCCCCCCCCTAACACACACAAAAACTCCCATGGAATGTAGTCACAAGAGTACCACTACACCAATGACTGCCTCCACTCCATCGTTCTCTCCCCCATCTTCTTCTTCTCCTTCTCAATCTCCCCCAAGTGTTTCTCTCTCATCTCGACCAATCAGTCTAAGCCCTTGTGCTGCATGCAAAATCCTTCGCCGTCGATGCGTCGAGAAATGCGTCTTAGCACCATACTTTCCGTCCACTGAGCCACTCAAGTTCACCATTGCCCATAGAGTCTTCGGAGCTAGCAACATCATCAAGCTGTTGCAGGTAATGGCCCCTAGTCCTTGCACTTTCGTTTAGTTTCACATTTCATTCAATGTGAATACAAACAATATGTTCTTGGTCTGAGTTTGGAAGTCAGCTTAGAAAAAAAAATTTAGTGCTTTTGCTTCCATTAACTTTTATAGTTTAATCTACTTATAGAAACACAAATTTATTGTTTGATCTGCATGGGTTGATTAAGTGCTAGAATTCGTGGCAAAATGTCAAACCTACGCATCTTAAGTCTAGGTGTAAACCTACACATCTTGGGCCTTAGCCTAATTGTATTTAAGTAATGGTTTACAAATAATCGGTATATAGGTATATTATCAATACTACTAATAAAAAGAAGTTAATAAGAAAAACTTTTAATTTCTTATTCTACCTCAACTTAATCATATAAAGACAATTATATCATATTTTTTACTTTAACTCTTACGTCCTTCCCTTTTCATGAATAAATATTGAGCAATGTTATTGAGACTTAATTTACTGACATAATTTGTTGACCTAATTCACTGTGACCTTTGGATTCACTATAGACCCTATCAAACATTGAAACTTTGTGTTGATCTAATGATTTCTGTAAAGTCACGTTATTATGTCAGCAAATTATGTCAAATTTTTAGATCCAGATAGTATTATTCATAAATATTTGCAAGTACAAGTGTAATGAATATATAGAGTTACCTATAAGAAGACCTTTCAAATTCATAATATTAGAAAAAATTACCAAAAAATATAAGAATAACAGTGCTCTCCTTCCAAACTCTCACTTTCCAAATCTCCTCTCTTTAAATAATAGAGGCTACTATTATTTTAGTTCTTCTCAGTAACTTCCATAGCTCTTTCTATTTCTATTTCTATTTTTAGCTTTATGGATCTTCTAAAAGTAACACTGGTAATTGATATTGAAGATAATGAGCTCAAAGTGCAAGAATTTTTTCTTGTTTATCAGATTCTTTTTTGTATCGTGTTTAGCTTCACTTGATGTTGTTTTACTCTCAACTGCTGCCTTGATAATTTAATCTGAATGTAATCTAAGATTTTAAGAGAATGTGATGTGTCTTATTCATTGTATACAAACAATTATTTTTTAATTTAGAAATTTAATTTGTCATGGTCTTAGTGCCTGAGATTGGACTATTAATTTTTGCAATAACTATACGCAAATTTTACTTGTTAATTAATTTTTTATTCACTTGTATTGAGTTTTAATATATTTTTTGATCTTCAATTGTCAAACATTTACTATAAGATTGTAATTTGTTTCCAATCCAAAGGCAATTTAGGGTGAGAAACTGTATATTCTTGATGGGAATTCTTTTAAGTGTTGCCCACAACCATGGTAGAAGCAAAATATTTGAAATATAAATATTACAAATAACCAATAAGTAATAAAATCAATGATCTTGTGTTCTTTTTACATTGTGCCTCTTTTATTTTATAACTTCACACTTATTTTATGCATAAATAAATCATACATATTGAAATGATGTTGGTAAAAAGTATAAAATAAAAACTAAAATTATAATTTAAAATAGTTCACGTATAATATACGTGGGCACCAACTAGTGAACCCATAAATAGTGCAAGGTGGTCATTGAGCGATCTCCTTCTGATTTGCACCGCGTGTCCTTCAAGGACATGTTTTAAGTTTCGTTGAAATTTCATGTATTTTTTTTTTGAAAATAAAATCTATTTAACTACTGAAAAGTATTACAAATTTGTTTTTAGGAACTCCCCGAGTCGCAGAAAGCTGACGCAGTGAGCAGCATGATTTACGAAGCAAATGCGAGAATCAAAGATCCAGTTTACGGCTGCGCTGGTGCAATTTGTCAGCTTCTAAAGCGAATTAATGAGCTCCAAGCAGAATTGGCAAAGGCACAGGCAGAGCTAGTCAATATGCAATGCCAACAGTCCAATTTACTAGCCTTACTTGGCATGGAAATGTCACAGCCTCAAGAAAACATCTTACAAACACCTCACCAAAGTTCAAAGTTGTGTTATGATCATGATAGAGATCTCTTCAGTGATTTGGAACCCCTTTGGGATTGAACAAATGTTTGTATTGTATTCATATGTATTCCTCTCTTTGCGGGTTCTGTTCTACTTTAATATTTTCATGCTTGTAATTTATTTAGATTTATTATCGATGGCCCAAGCCCAAAGGTCCAACTCATATTATAAGTCCAGTTCGAGTTTATAATCCGACTCCAAAAGATTCAGCGAATCCAGCCCAGTGTGGCCAACCCGGTCAAGCTCAGCAGCTCAAGGATCTAAGGGAGTAACTAAGGTCATCCAAAGCCTTATCTTCACTGCCCTGGAGATGGTCAACACCCCACCTCATCCTTTGACCGAATCTTATGGAGAGCACCGCAACTGCCTAGCACGTTGAGAAGGGCTCTTCAAATCCAACAAACTAGTCAACTACTTACTAATATCTTGCCCAAATTTGTTAGGAGGGCGACTATAAATTGTAAGCCCCGTCAACACTTAATAGTGCAACTTGGGCGGGTTGGACAATCAACTCTAGCCCAACTCTAGGTATAAAATCTTCAACCCTAACCCTAACCCAAACCCTACCTCGGGTTAGAAAACTCAACCCGAGCACTGCCCAAGTTTAATTCGGGCGGGCTTGGGTTGAATTCGGGTTGATTGCGGGTTACTTTACGGACTTATTTTGGGTTACTTCAATCAAGTTTTTAACATTAAAATCATAATATTAAGAACTCAATGGAGAGATAATGCAACTATAACTAGAATCCTTGCACAACAGTTTAACATAAATAAACATAATCTTTGCACAACAGCGCAAGGGGCTGCCACTGCCCACTGCTGCCAATGTTATTTAAACAAAACACAACTTGTTGCTACTATATTTTAAACAGAATACAAACTGCTACCACTTTAATTTAAACACTGCNGTTGCCACTGCCCACTGCCAGTGTAATTTAAACAAAACACAAATTGCTGCTACTATATTTTAAACAGAATACAAATTGCTGCCACTTTAATTTAAACACTGCAATTTAAACATAACATAAACACAAACAGAATTAAGGAAAGCTGCCCCTGCCCAATGCCTAATGACACAACAACTGTCATTGCCACTAGTCCACTGCTGCCACTGCTACCATAGCACAACCACTGCCCACTTCAATCACTGCATAGCCACAATCATCCATGAAGCAAAACAGATGACTCTCTAACACCCGAACTTGCACTATCATCCACGAACACTTGAAAAATAGAGAAGTGCAAGATGTTTAAAAAAGACAAAGAGATCATATAAATAGAATATGACAATATGTTACAAACATACATTTATCCATCTCTTCCATATCTTCTAGTTTTTCTTCCATTTTAACGGTAGATGAATAGCTCTTTAGCCAATCTTGGGTACAAATCAAACTCTCAACAATCTTTGGAGTTAAAGAACTACGAAATGGATCAAACACACGACCTCCCGTGCTAAAAGCGGACTCCGAAGTCACGGTTGATATAGGAATTGCAAAAATATCACGTGCCATGCGAGAAAGAACACGATATGAAGAGGCTTTTTCTTTCCACCATTTCAAAATATCGAAAGTCTGTCTTGATCCACTCCCAAACTCAACGGCATCGTCCAAGTAACGTTCTAACTCCGATTTAAGGACTTTGGTTTGCTCAATTTCTAAGAACTTACCCCAATCCACTACATCATCATCAAGTACAACATTTGGATCCTCTGAAATATCTTTTCCAACATTAATGCCTTCTTGTGACGCATCAACATTCTTTAATGAAGCTAATTCAACCGATGAGTAGTGTTCATACAATTTATCCAACGTAACTTTCACCTTTTCAATGAACTCATCAACCTCATCACAAGTATAAACTTTGGAAAGTTTATATCTCAAAAACGTCAACTTGTAATAAGGATCCAACACTACCGCAATAAGCAACAATGGATTAATTTTGTCACGATCACAATACTTCTTAAATTTCAACATCATTTTTCTTGACATCTCACGAAAGAATACATTGTCACTACTCAAAGATTTATGTAATAATACATGGATCCTCATCATTTCATGAAAATAAATGTTAGCAGTGACATATTGTGACCCAGACACACGCTTTGTAACAAGATAAAATTGTTCCAAAAATTTATGCAAGTTCTTTGCTGCCAACCAATCATCATCAGTAGGAGTCTCATTCTTAAGTTCAAGTGTGAAACTTCTATCTTGCTCTTCCAACCGGTCAAAAGCTTTTTGGTACTCAAGAGCGGTGTCGAGCATATAAAAAGTAGAGTTCCACCGTGTTGGGACATCCAAACACAAAGATTTCTTGTATGAAATCTTCTCAATATCCACACATTTCCTAAACAGTTGATAGCGGGAAGGGGAACTCCTAACATATTTCACACCATCACGAATGCGAACAATAGCACTATTAACTTCATCAATTCCATCCTTCACAATTAAATTCAAAACATGCCCAAAACACCTAACATGAAGCAGACTACCATCTAACAACAACCCATTGCGTTTGGCCAACCTCTTTTTCAAAGATGTGGCTGCGACATCATTAGAACTTGCATTATCTACAGTCAATGTATTCACTTTATCAATCCCCCATCCCAATAAACAAGTCTCCACAGATTGTGCAATAATTTCACCACAATGTGGGGTTGGAAGCACACGGAAGTTGATGATTCTCTTTTGTAAAATTCATTCTTTGTCAATGTAATGCGCGGTGAGACAAATATACCCCAGGTTTTGAATGGAAGTCCACAAATCAGNGACTTCTTGTGACACATCAACATTCTTTAATGAAGTTAATTCAACCGATGAGTAGTGTTCATACAATTTATCCAACGTAACTTTCACCTTTTCAATGAACTCATCAACCTCATCACAAGTATAAACTTTGGAAAGTTTATATCTCAAAAACGTCAACTTGTAATAAGGATCCAACACTACCGCAATAAGCAACAATGGATTAATTTTGTCACGATCACAATACTTCTTAAATTTCAACATCATTTTTCTTGACATCTCACGAAAGAATACATTGTCACTACTCAAAGATTTATGTAATAATACATGGATCCTCATCATTTCATGAAAATAAATGTTAGCAGTGACATATTGTGACCCAGACACACGCTTTGTAACAAGATAAAATTGTTCCAAAAATTTATGCAAGTTCTTTGCTGCCAACCAATCATCATCAGTAGGAGTCCCATTCTTAAGTTCAAGTGTGAAACTTCTATCTTGCTCTTCCAACCGGTCAAAAGCTTTTTGGTACTCAAGAGCGGTGTCGAGCATATAAAAAGTAGAGTTCCACCGTGTTGGGACATCCAAACACAAAGATTTCTTGTATGAAATCTTCTCAATATCCACACATTTCCTAAACAGTTGATAGCGGGAAGGGGAACTCCTAACATATTTCACACCATCACGAATGCGAACAATAGCACTATTAACTTCATCAATTCCATCCTTCACAATTAAATTCAAAACATGCCCAAAACACCTAACATGAAGCAGACTACCATCTAACAACAACCCATTGCGTTTGGCCAACCTCTTTTTCAAAGATGTGGCTGCGACATCATTAGAACTTGCATTATCTACAGTCAATGTATTCACTTTATCAATCCCCCATCCCAATAAACAAGTCTCCACAGATTGTGCAATAATTTCACCACGATGTGGGGTTGGAAGCACACGGAAGTTGATGATTCTCTTTTGTAAAATCCATTCTTTGTCAATGTAATGCGCGGTGAGACAAATATACCCCAGGTTTTGAATGGAAGTCCACAAATCAGTAGTGAGACAAACACGTGATGCAGAGGATTCAAAGATAAATCTCAATTTTTTCCTTTCAGTTTCATAAATATTGATGCAATCTTTGGTGATCGTAGTTCTTGACACCAAATTAAACCTTGGTTGCAATGCATTAAGAACCCTTTTAAAACCTTCTTTCTCCACAACACTAAAAGGCATTTCATCAGTAATTATCATTCGAGCAATTTCTTTCCGGACAGATTCTTGTTCAAATTTTCAATTACTAATATTACTAGAAGGACCACTAGCAGATGAAAAGTTAATCAATTTTTGAGTAGCATCTTTATTCTTTTCACATTTCGAACACTTGAATAAGTGTTGCCGAATTGTACTAGTTCCTTGTGAACTAGCATAATGAAACTTCTTTTTGCAATGGTTGCATTGCACTTCATTAGGTTTTGACCCATCTTCTTTTTTAATTTATGTGAAATCAAGTCAAACATCATATTTTTCAACATAAGTTTTTCGGCGTTTGGTGGGACTTACAGAGTTCCCCTCATCAGGGTTACCAGTAGCAGGCTCAGATGCAGGATTAGTCATAGATTCAGTATTTGTCTCCGTCTCCCCCATTAGTGACATGTACCTTTTCAATATCTGAACTAGCATAATGAAACAGAAAAATGATCAATTAGCAAAATGATCAAATGGAAAAATGAACTAGCAAAATGATAAAACGGAAAAATGAACATTGATTAACTCTAAATAAAGTCGAAAAAAATTGCATCTAAGACTGAGAGTATTTTCTATTATCGAGCAAAATATCGAGCATGATTAGTTCTATTAGCTCTGAACAAAATATCGAGAGTGAAAAGAAGTCTAAATATCGACCATACCTGATCTGATCTGAGATGACGGTAGACGATAGATCTGCTCTGAGATGAGATCTCTTTTCAAGTGTAGATTTGATTTTTTTCGATTGAGATGAAGGGAGAGTCGATTGAGCTGACAATATCTGAGAGAGAGAGGAGGCTGGCTGAGAAAGGGATCTGAGAGTGGGACTAAGGGAGGCGGAAAGCTGGCTGAGAGAGGATCTGAGAGTGGGACTGAGGGAGGCGGACTGAGATCGAGTGAAGCTGAGGGAGGCGGACTGAGATCGATCGAGTGAGGGAGGCTGAACAGAATCACAAATTAACCCTAAAATTGGAAAATGTATTTATAGGGTTTTTAATATTCAGGTTAAACCCGATTATTAACTCGGGTTGAGCCTGATTTTAATTCAGG